CTGAAAGGCTCCTCTGAGTTGTGTATTTCTATGTGTGACTTGGAACTGAATCATCCTTTTTTTTTATGGAGCTCTTTAGAATCGGAAAAATATTTAGAAAAGCAATATAAGGCATCCATTAAACTCAATGGGAAGTTAAGGAACCTCCACTTGACTTTTTTATGGACTGTTTTCTTATCAGCTATGACAGCAGGGTCAGGAGAAGATTTGAAAAACTATTCCAGTTGAATATCTCTTACATGCAGATATATTTTGATGCTTAAAGCCTGTAGCAATGGTATGTACATGATAAGCCCTCCAAATACATTTTGTTAGGACTGTATGACTAGTGCATTCTTTTTACGAATCGGTTATCTTGTGGGATATGTTTAGACAGGCAATGTAGGCCTGATCTAATTTTTTTTTTTTAAGGTTTGCTGTAAATTTATTGATTTTTCATCAGTTTTAATGAATTGAAATAAAGCTTTATTGATTTTAATATACTGCCCTTTTCTTTGCCTCTTTCTCGTGTCTATTCTAGCCATGAAGCTAGAATTTTTTTTATATCTATGATTTAACATTTATGGGGTGTGTTATAGAAGGCCTGCCTCTCCTGAACGTTTCTTACTCACAATAAAGGCATTAAGCATTGCATTTATTATTGGGACCCATAAACAGCCATTCTCCTAATTGTACTTTTTCAAACATTTTTTTTTTTTTTTTGTAATTGACCGTTGCTGTCACCAGGAGGACTGATAAGGATCCGTGTTCACATTTGTTGTGACCAAGATACAAAGTTGTTTCACATACCGGAACCAGTTCTGGAATATTTGATATACATAGTACTTTCAACAGAATGTTGTAACAACCTGTTTAACAGGTGGTTAGAAGATTCCGAATGTCAGACACGTTTGACATCACAATTACTAATGATCCAGCATTGATACAGCTACTGGTGGTGACTTGTTGCTAGATTTCTTATGTTCACCTTTAGGAGCTAAAACAGGACTATATAAGCAGGCACAAATATTAAGTATACAAAAAAATAATTTTACAGACAATGGCAATTGACCAAAATGCCAAAACGATCTTATCAGAACGGCCAAGTGACAGATGCAGATATTAAAGCTTAAAGAGTAAGTACCTGCTCCAATCTGGCCCCCTCTCACCCCACCGCCTCCCCCCTGCTATAGTTGCCTTACGGCTACATGCATTTGAGTTATATTACCTACCAAAAGGAATTTGTATTCCTGTCCACCCAGTCCTGACATTTACATGTGTACTGTGGCCCAATTCATTTCTATTGAGAGCATTATTTGTGGCAGCCTCCAGCGTTCCTGAAAAGTAGAGCTCTCCACCTAGGAATGAATGTGGCTCATATACAGGATAAAGAGTATCAAGCAAGGTTGTTTTCTGAGCAAGGCTTTGTGACTCTGGCAAAGATACATTTATCCTTTTAAAACTCTTATTCTGTGGATAAAGGGCCATGGACAATTTGAGATGAATGATTTTTCCCATTCCTGGTTAGAGCATGATCTGCCCATGAGGTCTTCCAACTTGACATGTAGAAGGTCACCAAGCAGCCCCCCTCTCGGCTACCTGTATGCTAGGCAAAAATAGAAATTAGGAATACTTAAAATAATCAGAAAATAGACTTACAGTACCAAAATGATCTATAGATCTAATGGATGGCCAGCAAGTGGTTATGTCAATAGTTGGCTCACTTGACATCACATATCTAAATCAAATCAATGCAGAATTGCAGAGTAGGTCTAGGAGGTATTGGGCTCCAGTTGGTGCACACTGGCCTAGTGTGAGTGTGGCTGCTGTTTTTACTGTAGGCAGCCTGCTGCTACTTGGTACTGGGATGAAGCCTAGCTGTGTGGTGCCTGAGAGACCTCCTCTCTCCTCTTCTGGTGGTGGAATGGCAGGTAAGGTACAGATGGGCGTGATTTTTATACATATGTGCCACCTGCATTGCGATCACAATGCGCATGCTTGGCTTTCCGCCACTATGCTTGCGCAGTGCATTAAAGGAAAAAATCAGACGCCCTGCTTTCATTAATAGACATTACGGATGGGAACAGGTTGCATACACCTGACCTCTGCACTCTTTTCATGCTTTATTGCAAAACCTCAAACCAGTTTTAAATGTAATTTGTTCAAGTATATAACCTTTATCTGTAGGCACTATTTGAACAGAGAACTAATGTTTTCCTGTTCAGTTTTGTTAAAATTTTCAGCAATTTCAATGGGATGTACTTCTTTTTTCACACGACTGTATGTGTTTCTGTGAAGCCCCCACTTGTTTTACAACAATTAAAGCATATTTTTGGGGGTACATTGAAATACACGTATTAATCTCCAGTGGGAAAAACAAGGAAGTTACATAGTAGCACCTTCTTGAAAAATCAGTTTCTTTCCCACATTGTTTCAGCTGATTAGCATATATGAATGAGAGCATGGTCAGTAGGAGGAGCTCTCTCACATGTCTTGTTCCAGCAGTTGACTCGGTCTGCTATTGCTTGTCTGGGCGTCCTGAGTTTTTATGCCTGACTCATACCTGCGCGTTTTGGAAATCTGTGCATTTTCCTGCGCGGACAAAAACAAACAATTTTTTTTGTAGACGCACGTTTTGTTCCCGTGCTTTCAGCTACAACCACAGAACGCGTGGCAACCACCCAAACAATCAAGCATGTACCATTTGCAACGTTCTGCGTTTTTGTATGCGCAAACGCACGTGTGTACGAGCCCCATATGAATGTATTGATTTTTGTGTTTTGTGCCTCCTGTACGTGCAGGGAAAACACTCAGATGTGAACCAGGCCTTAATGACTTTCTGAAAAGGTACTCTTTAGCTGCCTCTGCCTGTAGTGAGCTCTGTGTCAATGCCACTGCCTGGGAGGCATATGCAGCCTAAACAGCTTGTGAGATGTGTCACTGTACATAGTGCTGGCAGACACTGTGGTAGATCAATGTATGGGGGGGGGGGAGAGAGAATCAGTGGCTGCTTTCCTTTTCCTTAGAACACCAACCCATGGGGAAAATTTGTTATGGCCTCCGTAGAATTCAGGGAAGGCTCCTAGGCATCATGTACAAATAAGACTCCGCAGAAGGAAACATCCTACATAAACTCCATTTTTTTTCAGTGTGGAAGTTTTGAAAACCCCTGGCAGGTTTTATTTGCTGTACATGCTCCCACTGAGGACTTTCACACTCTGCATTTAGATGTTTTAGGAAATTCAGCATTTAAAGTGATATTAAAGTCAAAATGATTTTGAGAAGAGAATAGTTAAGGGACACAGGAATGTTCTGTTTTCAAATGCTGATAAAATCACTTACAATGAATGCTGCTTCTTGATGTATTAAAAGGTTTGCTGCACAATCATCTGATCCCTGAGCAGTGGTCCTGACTTCCTGTTTTAGAGGGACTCCTTTCACAAGCAGGTTACCCTTGTTACATAGTATTTGAGGTTGTGTCAAACCCGTTTCCCTCCTGAGTGTATACTGAGGAGAAAAAAAGTGTTCAGCACCTCTCCTTGTCGTTTGTGACCAACTTCCCATTTTCGTCCTTAATTGGGCCTATTTGCTCCTTTTTTCCCCTTTTTCCTGTTTATATATTGGTAAAAAATGTTTGGTTTTTTTTTATTTGGCAATATGCTTTTTGCACTCTATTTTAGCTGCCCGTATTGCTAGTTTGCATCTTTTATTGCATTCTTTGTAGTTAACGAACGACAATGCCGTCGACCTCCATCTTATAATTTATAAATGCCAATCGCTTTTCCTTTATGTGATGCTTTACAGTTTTATTAAGCCATACAGGTTTTGTTTGTGCTCTTTTACTTTTATTACCCAATGGTATGCATTTGGCAATGGCAATATGTAAGGTGTTTTTAAAACATTCCCACTTTTGGTCCGAGTTCATTTGGTCAGACTGTAGATGAGCCTCCCCCTCCTCCCCGATATTTGGTGGTTTATAACAAATACCCACAATTAGTTTGCGACGATCGTCCGTCATGTCCAGTTCCAGCCATAAGGATTCCACGTCCTCCCCACTATTTGACGTGATATCGTCCCTTATATGCGTATTTAGATTATTTTTAACATAAATGCATACCCCCCCCCCTTCTCCCACCTCTGTCCCTCCTGAACAGGTTGTACCCCTCTATGTTGGTGGCCCAATCATGTGCGCTGTCTAGCCAGGTTTCCGCTATTCCCACTATATCGAAGTCCTCTTCGAGTATCATAAGCTCAAGCTCTTCTAATTTATTTGCCAGATATATACCGATATATTTTGTTCGGTGCTCGTCAATACCGGAAGTACCATTAAGGAAGCCAGGCGGCGTGTAATGACTTACCACCTGGCTTACTGATTAGCAGGGAAGCCGTCTCCATGCTTCTCGTCACTACGTGATGAGAAAGCATGGAGCCAGCTTTCTGGCCAATCAGGAAGCCGGACAGCATGTAATGACTTGCTGCCCGGCTTCCTGATACCAGAAGCTGAAGTATCGGGCTAGGCATCGGAGCATTTGTACGAGTACTCGCCCAAATGCTCAGCATCGGCACCAATACTAGTATTGGTGCAACCATGATTTTCAACTTATGCAATATTCGCCCGAACAAACTGAGAATCTCCCTGGCAGGACACACGTAGCTATTAAAATGAGAAATGATCAGGAAGTGAGGGAAAATCTCCTCAATAGGGACACTAAGAGCAATCTAAACCTGGAAGAGGTCCTAACCCTTCTCTGTTCTTACCAAAACAAAATATGTTGTGTTGTAATTGGGCACAGTTTTTTCCTTGAAGCGCAATACACACACGCGCATTCTGTCTGTTGCAAAGAACAATTTGAGGACTAGCTATTTTTTTTGTTATAATGATTGCCAGTACCACCCATTTATATTTATGGAGATATTGACTTATCTGTTTTCCAGCAGCTTTATAATTTGGCAATGCAAAACTATGTGTTTTGATTTTTGTTGGGTTTTTTTTACTCCCATTTTTTTTCCGTTTCCACCAGATGTTCTCAAACAATGATGAAGCTCTGATTAACAAGAAGCTTCCCAAGGAGCTGCTACTTAGGTGAGCATTTTTTGAGATTCCCAAAGTTGTCTGTGAACAATGAGATAGATATAGATATACGTGT